TACATTTTGACTGCCCAAAATGATTATAATCATAAAAGAATTTTATGTATTTGGTATAGGATCTCACTATGCAGCTTGGACTCATAGTGATCCTCCTGTTTTAGCCTCCCCAGTGCTGGGATTACAGGCATGTATCACCATGCCCAGTCTCAGTGGCCCGCTCAGCATGTCCAGGGCGGGATGGGCATGACATGTGGTGCCAGGGATCTAGCCCCAGTCCCTGCACTTGTCTAACCAGTTGCTTAGTCCACTGAGCTATCTCCACAGCCAAATATAATTATTATGTATTGCAAATATGCACTACTAAAAATTTTAAAATATAGCATCTGTCTGGGGAAATATCAAATGGAGAATTAGCTCTCGTATCTGATGTCTATGGGACTATTAGAAGAAACAGATTTTGAACTTGGTGCTATTGGGTAATATGATTTAAAAGGTATCACCGTCCCAGTACTTGGGAGGCTGAGGAATGAAAAGCACACATTCTAGGGACTTTATGACTTAGTGAAACTCTGTCTCAAAGTAAAAACTTTTTGTAAAGATTTTTTAGTGTGAAGATTTCATCTCCAGGACTGAATAAACTAAAAATTAATTTAGTATTATAAATTCTGCCACTCATAGGGACGGCACAAAGAATTAAATGAAACAAAAAGAAGGTAAGGTAATAGAAGATCATTGGAGCCCAGGCCCCATCAATGACAGCAAGTCCTTCTTGATCTCAAACAGGAGTTGACATATAGGAAACGCAGGCCCAACACCACCACATCTTACAGTTCAAGAATGTTCAGAAAACCAAAGTCCTCTTTCTTCCCATTTCCCAATTGGAAAACATTGCATCCACCACACTGCCCTGTTGCCCACAGCAGTACAAAATCCATGATGTTGGCCGCCAGTCCATTCCACCTGTGCTCCGCTCCAGGGCCACCCACAGCCAGCCTCCCTTCCTGTAACCCAGTGACTCTGCTGTCTATGTATAGGTCTGCCTTTCCTTTTAGCCACCTTCGCTGTCAGAGTCGGTTCGGGCTACTGTGACAAATCATAACAGACATGGAAACTTAAAACAACAATCTTCCCTCACAATTCTGGAGGACAGGAAGTCCACGAACAATGTGCCAGCAGGCCCAGGGCCTAATGAGGTCCTATTTGCTGGTCTCACTCTTTCCCCCTATGGTGGAGGGAGGGGTACAGCTAGCTCTTTTATAAGAATATTAATCCCATTAGTGGAGCTGCATCCCTATGTCACTTCCCAAAGTCACCACTGATCAATACCATTAGTTTGGCTATTGTTCCAAATATCAATTTGGGGGTAGAACACGAACATATAGGCCATCACATGACCCTTCTGGTAACCCCCTTACACAGTCCACTGCTGCCTGTAGGTTGATCTTTTATGGAACAGCACCCACTCTATCTCCTCTGTCCAGTACTTCAGTCTTGAAAGACACACAGGTAAGACTACATTGTAACAGTCCCTCCAACAGCTCCAGTCCCAGGGAATGCATCTTATCATTTGACCTTTAGATGAGATCATGTGTTGTCTATGACAAGAGATCCGTTTCCTGTGAACATACAATGTTCCCCCAGCGAGTTGTAAGATCCTCAAGTCTCAACGTTCAAAATGAGAACATTCCCAAACCTTGGTGTTAGAAAGACAGGATTTCAATTTGTTCCACTGCTAACATAACTTTTTGAGATAGGGACCAGATTTCTCTCAGCAGCATCTTATTTGTAAGATATAAATAACACTTCTACAGAGATACTGGAGGTTTGAATGAAATGAATAAAAACAGGCAGAAGTGTGCCTGGCACATTGAGTCTCAATGATATTGATAAAGATATTGATCATAAAGTTTCAAGTAGAAATACTGGGTTTTATTCATCTGGAAACTCTTACTTCTTTTAATCCCCTGCTCCTGGTACAACTTTTCACCCAACACAATGTTCACAATAAATAGTAGTTGGTTTGGGTGTTGTAGTTGCCATAAAAGCATTTTATGTCTGGATTTGATGCTTGGAAATCTCTAGTGGAGACTTAAAGAGTACACATTTTTCTGATGATTCAGTAAGAATCTTGCCCATAAACAGGACAGTAAGATAAACAAAACTTTCAGGATTTCCTTCATTCCCATAATTAGTTCATCTGAAGCAAAGGCTCTCACGTGAAGGCAAGGGACAAGCTCTGTCCAGACATTTGCAACAATGTCACAACAGCAGGATGTTATTTTCACCCAGTAGGCAGAGGCCAGGGGTGTTACTAACTATCCTACAATGCAAAAGGCAGTGTTACCCTCCCTAAAAAAGAATCATTCAGACCAAGATGTCTTTGAATGTCAATAGTGAGAAATCCTAATCTAAGAACCTCAATGCCGGAGACAATCGCCATTGCTAAAATCTCACATTTTAGAGCTCTTGGCTAAGCCCAAGTCTTTAGGCAAAGGAGGGGGCAAGTGGCCGAAAGAGGAGGAGGGGGTGGAGAGAGAAGCATGGAGGGGAAGGCCCAGAGCCTGCTGCGGAAAAGTCCATGTCCCTGGTAGACCCCTCCACCTCCATGCACCATTTGTACTTCTGTCCCGGGAGCGTCTTCCTAGAGCCTTCCGTGTGCACCTGGACTCAGTTGTTCCTTTAAACAATTTCACTGATTTCTTCACCCAATTAAACTTGAGAACTTCTGTGAATGACCTCTGTGACGAGTAGTTGACAAAACATGTTTTCAATTCAAGCTGACAATTACCTGACGGTAAGACTGACTTCAAGAACAGAGCCTGGACTTCATCAGCTCATTCTCACGGCTGCCCGGAGACGACTGCTTCGAGAAAGTCAGGTATCTGCCTCGCTTTCACACATCGAGGCTGTGAAGAAATGTGGTTCTGGCGCTGGCTTCCTCTCTCGGAAATTTCCCACATCGGCGCTTGGTTATTTTCTTTAGAGTTAAATGTAATCTAGTTGGATGTGAATTTTTTTTCGTGTGTTTTCTTTTACTTTCTGTTTTAATTTCTTTCCCTCCCACGTTTCCTGTAGCTCACTCTCTTTCTTTTCTCTCTCCCTTTGTTGCTTCTTGCCCTACCTTATTCCTTTCTTCCATGAAATGTGAAGAAAAGTTGTGTCTCATCTACTTTCCTCTGGTTCTACTCAGACGCCAGACTATATAAATAAATAAATAAAATCTTTCTTTTATGACATCACACTGCCACCCTGTGGTAAGGCTGAGCTACTCAGTGAGTCAGAGAAATGCACAGTTCAGAATTACGGAAACAACAAACAACTCAAACCCCAGACTAAAATTTGGGTCTCGGTTAACTGTAGCTTGTTCCGTAGTTGAAGTTCCAGCAATCAGATCTACCTTTCTCCTTTCCCAGCGCCTGTGATTAGGAAGTATATGTTTTTCCTTGAGACAGGGTCTCCCTATGTAATATAGGCTGGCCTCAAACTCCAACTCAGCAATCCTCCTGCCTCAGTCTCACAAATGGTGGGATTATAGGCATGTGCCACCATGCCTGGCTCAAGCAGGAGCTGTGCTTTATTCTCAAACTGAGTGTTGAAAAATCAGAGCACAGAACAGAGCTTTGATATCGATCTAGGGCACATAGGTCCCTCAAAGCAGCTTCTCAGGTTTTACATATTCAGAGTTATTCTCTCTCACATCATATTCTCCAAGCCTACTGTAGTAACAGAGAGAAGCTGCCCAGTTAAATGTGAGGCTTAGTGTTATGGTTTGTGTATAGGTGTCCCCCCAAAGCCTCGTGCAGTCACCGGATGGTTCCTGGAGTTTGTGATACTGCACCTGCCCTGGAGCAGGTAATTGGCATTGCAATGTAAGGGAGAGAGAGGCCAGCTAGCTGCAGGGGGTGCCACCACTCCCTCTGCTCTCCGCTCTTTGCCGCTGCCGTGTGTTACTTTGCCTTGGAGCCAACTGAGTATGGACTGAAGCCTCCAGGAGCTATGAGCTAACTAAACCTTTCCTTCCTTCATTTTGACTGGCGGGTATTTGTCCCAGCAATGAGAGAAGAGTAATTGAGACACTGATGTAACCAAAAGTAAAATACCTTGTGAAAGATACAAAAACAAAGACAGAGTGATATTTTTAAATTTTAAAAATATTTGTGCTTGTAGGGCTCATGCCCTGATTAGTTTTGTGCATGCCAGGCAAGGGCTCCACCACTGAGCAGAAACACCAGCTGCTAGAGCACTGAGCTAGCTCAGTAGAATAAGCACATGCCTGGCAAGCTCAGGGTCCTGAGTTCAATCCCTGGTACTGCAAAAAAATAAAATAAAAGTAAAATAATATTTGCTCAAGGAAACAACACAAATGCTTGTTCCTTTCTTGTAGTGGAGGAGTTTTCTCCAAAACAAGAAGCTGCGAGTTCTCTGAATTCTGTATCCTGCTGATGCTGGGAGCGCAAAGTGAGCAGACCCCGAATATCATTTGTTCATCCATTTCCATCCACTGCACACCTCACCCACTGTGCACGCGCACACACACCTGCACCCGTGCACACACGCATGCATGCGTGCATGGCAGAGTGAAGCGCCCCATGCCCTGGCCCCTCAACAAAACCCCACGATCTGCTCCCACTTCGTGCCCCACTTTGGAGCCTTGGCCAAGCTCCACCTTCTATCTAGTCTAAGAAAGGCACCTCCTTTCTTCACACACACACACACACACACACACACACACACACGAACACAGTCTCTACCTTGGAGCCGTGATCTTCTTCTTTAAAATGCAGACCTGATCAAATTAGCACCCTACCGGAGTGCCAAGCCAGTCCAGTGCCCGGGGTGTGCTGAGAAGCCATTGAGACTAGGCATGGTGGTGCGGCTATAATCCCAGCTCTTGGGATGCTGAACACAGGTGGATCACTACAAGTCTGATCTATGTAGTGAGACTCTGTAGACCGTGTAGACCCTGTACTAAAATGGGGGGGGGAGCACCCTTAATGTCCTTTGCTGGCCTCCTTTGTCCTTTGGCTAAGGTGCAGAACCCCAGGCCAAGGCCCCACCTGCCTCCGATTGCCATGTCTGTATTTGCCTGCCTCGGCTTCTTCTCCTGAGGTCTGCCCCACTTCTGTCGACTCCCTGGTGCCCTTTTGCAGGGAGCCTCCATCTAATCATTACTTCTTTAATCTCTTCCCCATGTGTCAAGAGGCATGGGCTGTGCACTTCAACTGCTATTTATTTAACCCATGGGGTTAAATAACACTCAGCTTACTGTTGACTGCGACTGGGAGTGACAGCGAGGAAAGAGGACGGCCCTGAGCCTAGCCAGCCACCGGCGTGACTCGTTGGTGGCATCCGCCACAATTAGAATCCAGTGGCTCCAGCAGGCAAATCCAGGGACCCTCTGGGGTGTGAGGGGCAGAGACAGGGACACAGCCTGTGTGGGTGCAGGGGCTTCACTTTGCATCTGCTCTGCGTTCTCTTTGGCTGGGAGCCCTAACTGTCACAATCCTGACTGTGTGGTTTTAAAACATACACTGCGTGAAGGATTCAGGCATCACTCAAAGCCCAAAAGGGAAAGAAAACTGATGCCCAGCAAGAGGGTTCTGTGATCTTGAGACACAAAGAAACATGAACAGGGTTGTGTAACGCACGAGGTGGGGGGCTGAGGTCCCATAGTGATCTGCTGCAGTCCTGATTCCCCAGTGAGACAGCTTCCCATCCTGTCCCATCCCCTGTCACCCCTGAGTTTCGCCTGGGGAGCTCCCCGAAGGCGGACATCTGCCCCCCCCCCACCAGAGCAGTGCAACACTCCCAGCCCTGAGCTGTCCACGGCCCACCCCTGTGCACTACCGGTGACCCGGTCATTCCTGTCCTCATACACTAGAGATAAACAACCAGTCGGTTCACATCCCAGGGCCCAAAGACTTACCTTTATGGTTACTAGAAAGGTAGTGTGCTCTGGAAGGGAAGGGGCATGGGTCCAAGGGACAGGAAAGATAAGACTGGCTGGGTTGTAACATCCTGGCCTACCAGAGTAAGTGAAGGACCAGAGGCAAGGGCTTGAGAAGAGGCTGAGGGCTGCAGAAAAAGCAGAAAAGTTTTGTGACTGTCAGACCACTGCAGCACTGCAGAGGGAAGGAAAACAGCCCCTGGCCATGCAGGGGGCTGGTACACGCCAGGTGACTCTGAGCCCTCTACCAGCTGAGGGTCATTCAAGGGCACCCTGCATGGTGGACGGAGGCAGCCGATGCATTTTCAGCTGTCGTCCTTGCTCCTCGTCCCCAAGGCCTGGGATGTTTGACCACCGGCTAGCACAAAGCTGAGTCAGAGCCGCCACTTCCTGTGTGCATCTTGCCAATCACATGGTTTTCACGATCACCACAGGCTAATGACTGCCCCGCTGAACTCTCACCCAGGGACTCCTGGCTCCTGGCTCTGTAACAGCAGATGCTCCTTGAGTGGCCTCGTGACTGTAGGCCCGGCTCTTCCATTTAGTAGGCAAAGAAACAGAAAAAGGAACTGTCACAGTCAGTGTCAGCCACGCCCTAGAAAGACCCCCCTGCAAGCCCCTGGCCAGCACTGCAGACCTTATGCTTCAGGAGAGTCCCCTGCATGTCCCAAACCGATGAGGGGGTATCAGCGCTAAACTGTTTTGCACACAGCATAATTTGTGTTTGGCACCTGCCGCCCTCCTGGGTTCTGAGCAGAGGCTGCAGCATGGTCCCCACCAGAGAGCACCCTGGGTACCCCCTCTCCATGTGTGCAGTCACCACCCGCAGCTGGAGGAATCACTGCATCTCGTGGGACCACACGGGGCAGGACTGTCCCGCAGGTGCCAGTTTCCCGGACTTGGCTCCGTGTGTCCTCCCCACTGCTCATTTTGCTGTGTCCTCTCCCCATGACAATCAGGGCCACGCACACATACAGCTCAGGTGGTTCCTGTGAGTCATCCTGGTAAATGGCAAACCCAGGTGCACTGGGTCATCAAGGACGCGTACCTCTGAGCAGTCACTTCATCCGTCCATGCCTTGGTTTCCTTCTCTGCAGAGAAAGAATAATGTGCCCCCAATTCATAGAGCCATTGTGAAGGCTAAATTAGTTAATACATGTAAAGAACTTAGTGCAGGGCCTGGCTCCTTGTAAACACCCAATGAATACACGTTGTCACACATAAATGCTCAGGAGCGCATAGTAGGGTAACCCTGACCCAGGGAGACATCCTGAACTCCGTGACCTTTAGGTTTTACAATGGCAGTTACACTTTTGTCATCTGTTCCTCGGGAGTCTACATGTTGATACATTCACCTAGGTAGATGTGGTGATGCACACCTGCACTTAGGAGGCTGAGGCAGGAGGAACACCATGAGTTCAAGGCCGTAACTACATAGTGAGTTCAAAGTCATCTTGAACTACATAGTGAGATCCTATCTCTATGTATGTATGTATGTATGTATGTATGTATGTATGTATTGGTGATACTGGGGATTGCACTCAGTCTCTAAAACAATACATTCACTCGTCTGAGATAATTTATTTAGAAAGCTATGTAGTAATTTATCTAAAGGAAAAAAATGACTAGAAGTTCCTTAGTCAGTTTGCTTTCCTAAACATATGCCATATTCAGCCTCTTCGAATATAACATGGGGCGTTATATGGCCTATGACCTACCACACGTTTATACTGCAAGGCACTGCACTGTTGACTGCTTGGGGGACTGGTCCCTGACAGGCTGTGCACATGCAGCGCAGCCCACAGCTCGCCTGTCACGTGTTTGTGAAAGCCAATTTGCAAAGCTCTGTAATGGCACGGTGCTGCCAAGAAAACACATTTTATCTTGTGTCCGTGTTTGTGTTTGGTGTTACCATGGAGCTGAACTTGGGCCTCACACGTTAGGCAAGGGCCCCACCCCTGTGCTCCGCCCCGGGCCCCACTTGGCAGTTTAGACAGTACCCGTCGTTGGTCATAGAAGCCACCTGGCAGCTTCCTCTAGACTGTAAGAAGTTCTAGGAGGATTTCTGGTTCTTTGCTTAGACAAGTAATGAGAAGAAAGGAGAGAGAAGGGAGGGTGAGAAAGAGAGACACACAGAGAGTCAGAGAGAGACAGAGAGAGAGTGCCTATTTATGAAGTCCCTCTTGTTGGTTGCACCCTGTGTCCCTGCTCACGAAGGCGGGGTCCTTAGCAGCGCAGGAGGACTAGGGCAATGGGTTCACTGCGGAGCCCTGCCGTTTCCCTTGTGACCAGCAGGGGGAGCCCATTGAAAGGCGAGGAGCTGTCTATACCCATGGACGTTGACTACCCAACTTCTGGTACTGAGTAACTGCTGAAACCTTGACCGCCTGAATGCCCCTCAAGGCTCTACCCACACTCCTTCTGGCTCCCTGTGCTGTCACCCGCCGGCCCCAAGCCCAGCTCCCTGTCCCGCCCACTCAGCGGTCTGTTCTCCAGACCCTCCGCAGCGCACACTTCTGGCACCACATCCCATGGTCTGGGCTCCGATGCTGATCTCCGACCTATCGCACCCCTTTATTTCTCTCCTCACAGCCGATATTCCCTTGCCTGCTATCGCTCTTCCTCACCAGTGTCAGCCCCAGGAGGGGAGGCGTTTTGCTCACTTTCGCATTTGATTTTCAACACAGCTGATGAGAAATCCAGTGGAGAAATAAATTTATCTTCGAAAATGATCCTGGAGTCATTGTATGTCTGAATGGAAAAGAAAAAACTTGATATCTACCTTGCAAAGATCAATTTGAGAAAAGACCATAGACCTAAACAGGACTAGGGCAATGGGTCCTGAAGAAATATGAGGAAATATATTTGCAGGAAAGGATTTCTTGGGCCAGAGAGATAGCTCAGCATCATAAGCACCTGCCTGGCAAGCACAAGGTCCTGAGTTTGATCCTCAGTACAGAAAAAAGAAAAAAAAAATTTCTTAGGATGCCATAAAAGAAAAACTGGTTTTCATCAAAATTAAAAACTTTTCATCAAAACGAATAGGTTTGTCACAGACTAAGATAAAATTATCTATATACATAGGTTATGTGTCAAAAGATC